CATAATAGTGTGTTTTCGTATATACACATTGCACTTATATATACATACACACATTTTTTTTTTTTTTTTTTTTTTTTTTGTACAGGGAATTGAACTCAAGACCTTGCGCTTGCCAGGCAGGTGCTTGTGCCACTGAGCTATATCCCTGGCCCCTATACACACATATTTTTTTTTTTTTTTTGTCTTTCTGAAACAGAGTTTTGCTATGCAGTTCAGGCCGGCCTTAGGCTCACTTTGTATGTAGCCCAGCCTGGTTTCGAACTCACAGTGATGCTTCTGCCTCACCCTCCAAAGTGCTGGGATTATAGGTGTGTGCCACCACGCCTGGCCATATACACACATTTTAAAAAGGCCTAACTGGAGTTACAGTTTTAATTTTGTTTTAAAAGTTATTTATTTAACAATTTGTTTTGGTTTTTTGAGACAGGGTCTCACTATGTAGTTCAGGCTGGTCTTAAACTTGCTATATAACCCAGGCTGCTCTTGAACTCATGGCGATCCTCCTGCCTCAGTCTCCCTTGTGCTGGAATACATCCGTGTGCCACTACACCCAGCTTAAAAGATGTTTAAAAGTGACTAAATATTTTGTTTCCTTCTAACATGTCCTCTAATACTTTTTTGTCTTTTTGAGATGGGGTCTCGCTATGCAGTTCAGGCTGGCCTTAAGCTCACTTGGTAGCCCAGGCTGGCCTGGAACTCTCAGCGATCCTCGTGCCTCAGCCTCCTGGAGTGCTGGGATTACAGGCATGCACCACCATGCCCAACTCACATAGATTTTTTAAAAACAGCTTTTTGAGGAATTGTTGACCTTCCAAAACTAAATATTGGCAAAGACTCTCTTCTTGACTAAACTCTAGTTAGGTTTCTCTAAGCTCTCTTCTCAATTAGGCCTTAACCTTGATCTGTGATGACTTGAACAAACTAGCATGGTTTATAGAGCTCAGAACCACCTAAGCGTCCCTAGCCCAGTGATGGTGAACCTCTTAGAGTTTTCAGTGATACAAAAGCTTTCAGTGATACATGCCTGCTGAGGCATGTGTGCCATAGGTTCGCCACCACTGCCCTAACCCCTCTTTTAGTGCCAGCCTCAGAAAAACTCTAGGCCACTGAAAGAATTTACTATTTATTTTACTTAGTATTTGAAGGTAGGGTCTCCATCCCGTCTCTGTGGGAAGGTAAGAGCCTGACTTCCATAGGCACCAGTCAACCTGAACCAACCCATCATGCTTCTGGTTATTTTTCATGTCCCTGACCCTGCTGAGCCACTTACTCCCTCTCCTATTCCTCAGCCTCTGTCCTCAAAACATCTGGTTACCTCTGTACAAAGCAAAGTTGGCTTCACTTCACGTTAGACACTTATCTTTATTGTAATAGTATATTGCTGATTAAATCTGCCCTTACCACTTTAACTAGTGTGTAGCCATGTTTATCTTTGACAATATTTCAAGTGTTCAGCTTGAGAAGTTTTGATGTATATGTGCACCCAAGAAGCCATTTGCATATCAACATAGTGAAGAGACCCATCATCCCCAGAATTTTCCTTCTGGGCTTTTCCCATCCTCCTGCTGCTCCTTACCCTATCCACCCTTCATTTCCCACCCAAGGCAACCCCTTGTTACAGTTTATATTCAGTCTTTCTGTGGACGTACTTCCTTTGGGTTAATGCTGGATCCTATGATGTGGTAAAGCGGTTTTCTAGTGACTATCCAAAGGGCTTTCATAACGGTTGTACAGTGGTCTTTTATAGGTAATACACTTTTGTTGAACATGTAGACCTTTCTGATTTTCTTCACTATTTTTGCAAATGATCTAATTTCTTTTGGATAAGGCATGTGATTTAGATATTCAGCTTGGAAAAAATAAACCCAGGAGAATGGATGTAAAGGGAATTTGAACTGCGTTCCTAAATGATTTTGAAGTTTTTTTTTAAAAAACAATAACCATCTATCTTGTGTCCTCTGCTGAGAAGAAAAGTGGCATGAATCTTCAAATGAACCAAAAGTTAAATTTTAATTTCAAGTTTATTTTGCACCCAGTGGAAGATCTGCTATTCTGATGTCAAGTGTATGGGATCCTGGTTCCATCATAACATTCCTCATGAGGTGACTGCAGGAAAGCTGGGTGTGGCCTTTGTTTCCAGGAATTAGGTGTAGCTCTCTGGTATATGTTAGAACAGTATGTTAGGGGCTGGGGATTTAGCTCAGTGGCACAGCGCCTGCCTGGCAAGAGTGAGGTCATGAATTTGATTCCCGGTACAGGAAAAAAACCAAAAAAAAAAAAAAAAAAAAAAGTGTGTTAAATTAAAAGCATCTTAAAACATAGTATTTCACTTTCTGCTTCTCTCTTCCTGTCTCTTTTTCCTCCTTCCCTCCTTGTGTGTGTGCGCACACTCATGTACACACACATAAATATGTCCAATTGTAGAAATGAAACAAAATGTTTTCAGAATGATGATGACATGCTGTGGGGGCACTATTAAAAAAAAAAAGCAAAAGCCAGAACCCCCAAAACTTATTTTATGCATTGATGCCAAAGCTGTATTTTCTGTGCTATGTTTAGGGTCTTCTTATAAGAAAAAAAACAAAAATTGTCTTTACCAACAGATTTTTAAACAGCAGGGACATGCTTATTATTTACTGTTTTGGTATCTTCCCCTCATTTACATAAATACCCCAGAAACCAGCAGTTTAAAACTAATAAAAGCCAAGGTCTTCCATCAAGTGCAATAAAGTTTCACAACCATGAGTTAGACTATTGGAGTGAAAAATAAACCTGTATATGTGGTTATGAAGGTTTTTTTTTTTTTTTTTCTGGAAAGTGTATAATCACATTTCAAAGTTAGAACTTCCACTTGAAGTAGCAAAGGAATAATAATATTTAAACATTTATGTAGAACACTTTGTCTTTGAAACTCTCCCAACCTTGGCCAGTTAATCTCCTCTGCTTCCCTAAGGAGCAGGTGTTACTGTGTGCCATTTTTCTATGAAGAAAGTGGAGGAAGGTATTGCCCAGACCAGGGGGCGGGCTACAGAGGCCAGTTCCTGTCCCTTACTGTTCAGTAACTCTTCGGGAAGGGACTCCCACTAGAATGCATCAGGTTTCTGTTCCATGTCGATGAAATCACTAATAAAACAATGATATAAATAGAAGCTCACTTGGCCTCAGGCTCCATAGACATGGTCCTGACCCTTCTGCGGCGCATTTTTTGGAAGGAATGGTGTCTTAGTCCGTTTTGTGTTTTTGTATGGAATCACTGAGGCTGAGTTATTTATAAAGAAGAGAAGTTTGTTTGGCTTATGATCCAAACATGGTCCCAGCAGCTGTCTGGGGCCCCCACTTGGCTGTGTCACAACATGTCAGAGAATTGACAAGGGAAACAACTATGTGCAGAAGAGGTTGAACACATCCGGGCCTCATTTTATGACCACCTACTCTTGCAAGAACTAATCCTGTGGAGAGCTATAGTAATCCTTTATAAGGGTGGTGTCCCCATGACTAATTACCCTCCAGTGGGGCCTGCCTCTTAAAGGTCCACCACCTCTCAATATTGTTGACCAAGGCCTCTGCACACACATAACAAACGGGGGCCAAGAAAAGACATCAAAAAGCCACAGCACGTTGTGTTTACACTTGAAAGTGAGCTGGCCTAACCTCCCAGCAAGCACTTCCTCCCTCCCCTGCTCTCCACCCTCACGTTCTCTTGGCAATTTAATTTATAGTTTGCCAAATAAGATTTGCTATGATTAGTCCATTTAAAGAGTTGAACAAATGTGTTATGCACATTAAAGCCAGAGGAACAGTAAAATAAAGCTAATGAACATTTACATTTTTGGAAATATAATTAATGTATGCTTGAAAAATTTTGAAAGATAAACATTTAAATGTTAAAATACTTATTACCTTCCCCACAGGGACAGTGTTGGAAATTAATGAGATAACAAATGGAAAGTGCTTTGAGCTCTTTGGAAGAAAGGTGCCAGATGAATACAAATGATTATTAATTGTTAAAGCTATAAGGTGGTTACTAATATATTACTTATGAAAAAATACACATTTTATACCTGAAATATAGGATGCTTGCAGTTGTTAGAATGACATAGCTGAAATAATGTATCTCGGACTTCTTCTTGGTTATTCTACATCTTGCTAAGAGACCTCTTCTAGCCCTTCCAGAGTTTCTTGATCTCATATTCATGTCTCAAAACTGTGGGACATGACTTCCCAGCCTTCAGACTTCTGTACTTTCCTGTAGTGTTCCCTTACTAGTCTTACAGACCCCTTGACACAGGAAAATTCTATGGGCACCGTTTTCTCTTCTCCTGATTTATTGTAGCACAAAATTGCAATGTCTTACCATGTTACCAATCACACAATATTATCATGATATATATCTAGTATCAATATTATTAGCAGGAGGTATGTGTAAATTAAGCCATTTTTCTATATTTAAGTAACACACTAAACTTTGTTATAGAACAGAGTAAACTCCTTGTGTGATCTAGGGCAAGTGAAACATACTGCAATTTTTGTATGACATATTAGAATTTATGACAAAGTGAGCAAATCCACAAATTATTTTTATTTACTAATGCACAGGGTGAGATACTAAATCTTAATTTCCTCCTATGTAAAATAGTAGTAATAGTACCTACCTGCATGGATTTGTTGGAAGGATGCAATAAGTAAAACACAGAAAGTTAGCATAGTATGGACCTTGCCCCTTGGGTTTAATAAGTGGTAAATACAATGTAAGTACATAGTGGAAGGTAGGTAGCTATGGAGATAGACATCACAGGCTCTCTGCCATTTAATATTATCTTTTAGTTGGCTTTATTAAAGCAAGTATAAAATGGGTAATACATGAAAGGAGATACTTTGTTTTTGTTTTTGTTTTTGTTTTTTGAGACAGGGTCTTACTATGTTATTCAGGCTGGATTTGAACTCACTATGTACCCCAGGCTGGCCTCAAACTAACAGTGATCCTCCTGTCTCAGCCTCCTGAGTGCTGGGATTATAACATAATTTTTCTATAATGCTTTCCTAAATGAGTTACTTAAAAAATGGCACATCATTTTCCAAAAATCGTATAACGAACAAAGGTTTCAGTTTCCTATTTAGAACAGTAAAAAACTCAGTAATTCATCTTGATCAAATTTTATTTGGGATACTGTAGACATGGTGCACATACAATTTTTTCAAACTCAGTTTACCAGTAGCACAGTACCTTTGTAACATACATGTGCAAAAGATATTGGTCTACGCTTCTTTGCAAATGTTCTGTAATTAAAACATTTCACTAATTTAATCTGGTCTTCTGGCTTCTTCCACTTAATTACCTGATGTGATTGTTTTACTACACTAATTTTTCGTGTTTCATTTTGAAGGAAGCTGTAGGTGTTTAGGCAGACAACCTTATTTGCGGCCTCTTGCTAAGGAGTCTGAATCTGGCTAGAAAGCCTGAATTTGGAAACAGGCATTCTATGGTGTATGGTAATGAGGTAAGCAGCATTGTTTGAGAAACCAATCAAGTGGGTTAAAAATGGTACAGGAGAGCGAACTTGTTTTGCTGTTGCCGGCAGCTCGAGGCTCAGGAGTGCTAATCAAAATCCACACACAGAACTTCCCTGATGGATTTAACCGTTTTGTACCGTGAAGCGGGGTTTTTTGCCATGTGAATGATCCACCGCTGTGCTGAACAAAACGGAGACAGTTTTCTTTTAAAGTCCAGAGCAGATGAGAGCCATAAGGAGACAGAGGGTTTCATTTACTCTCAGGACACGATCGTGCCAGTGAGCTAATGAGTCTCTTGGACCTTATGTTGCTCTGGCTTCAATAGAAGAGCGTCTCTAATGGGCATGTAGTACTTCCTATCCATCGAGTGTCTGGACAATAGGCCCCTCGTATGGATCAGAGAAATCTGGCAAGAAAAGGAGGTCATCCTTGCACCTAGCATAGGCAGGGAACCTGGCTAATGAATGTATTTCCAAGTATGGCAGAACAAAAACTGACGCAGAGAACTGTTAATTTTTATTGCAGAAACTCTTAGCCTGTGTCTGAAGCACAGTTAAAAACGTACTGACATTCTATAGTTTAAAAAATACTACTTTCCCCAATATATTCAAGTATTTTTATAGATAGAAATGTTATTCTTTATACCATACGTGCTTTGGTGCTGCACCTTGCAAATTTCACTCCAGCAAAGCTGATGTAGAAATATTTCGGATAATTATGCAGCCAATGTGGAGGGTTGATGTCAGCATTGAGTGATGTTAACAGCTCCCCTTGAAAAAGTACTGTTGAATTCAGCTTGTAAAAATCCTACTGCTATATTAAATGGAAAGAACTAGAGGAGGACAACTGTTTATTCAAGCCAGAGGCTTGAGTTACACTGTCTCTTAAACTAAGAGCAGATACTGCCACCTAGACACGTTCTGATGCTTTGGTTACCAGATGCTGGCTTTTCCTGCTTCTTGAAGAAAGACAATAGCAACAAAGGATAGAAGCCTGGTACAGTGAACATACAGAGAATGATAAAGAATCATTTAAACTTCCTATACATAGACATGTCTTAGAAAAAAGGACATTTGTGTTCTGACAAATAGTGACTCTGCCTTTATTCAGTGTTTTAAATGCAGAGAAATTACTCTTAGAAATAGGAGAAAACTTTATGAAACATAAAAAAACCCTCAAGAGCTTCATAATCATGAAGCTTATAGAAAAACAGATGTAGAAGTGATATGGGTCAGACTTGTTAATTTGTTCTTTATCAGATTATTTTTCTTAAGTTTGGGAAAGGGATTGTTTAACATTATTGAGTGAAAACACCCCTAAGTTTTGGTTTAATGCATAAAATAAGAACGCTTAATACATCTTCAGGAAGAATAATCCATTATAACCTGTTCTGATTCATGTCTTCGCAAACCAAATAAATCCGTTCCACCCACCACCATTTTTATTCCTAATACCAGAAGAAATATTGCCCTTTCTTCCTCTAGATTGGGATTCCCAAATCGTAATGCGTTTCAGGATCACTCATCAGCCTTAGAGACGTTTTTATCATCTTCTTCAAATCTCATTTTGTTTTCCTTTGTTACTCTTAGAATGCTTTCAATATCATCAATGGTAGTCTGTAAATAGCAATAAAAATAATATTCATTATTTAAAGACCTGTTACAAACCCTTTCCTTCCAAGAACTGGTTCCTTTTGTAATTCAGTTTTGCTGCATTTAAAAAGGTACTGATCCCTGACAGGCCAGAAAAAAAATATAGATTCTTCACTACAGACAAGAAGTACTGGTTGAGTCATCCTAAAGCAAGGGCTAGTAAGTTGAGGTGGGTTCATCTCCCTGGTTTCTGGGAAAAAGAAGGACACTTTCCCATTTTTGGTTAATTGATTAATTAATTTTTGGCAATGCTGGGGATCAAACCTGGGACCTTGCTAGGCAAGTACTCTACACTGAACTACATTAATTAGTTCATTTAATTAATTCACTTTAAATTGAGGTATAATTCACATATCATAAAATGCACTCTTCAAAAATGTACACCTCAGTGGTATTTAGTATATTCATAGACAACCAGCACAACTACATAATTTCAGAACATTTTCATCACCCCCAACAGAAACCCTATTCCTCATTTCCCCTCTCTCCCTTAGCCCCTGGCAACCATTAACCTACTTTCTGTCTCCGAGGATTTGCCTGCTCTGCACATTTTATATGCATGGTATCATAAAAATATTTGTCCTTATGTGACTGGCTTCTTTCACTTAGCATAATATTTTCAGTGTTCATTCATACTATAGCACAGACCTTCAATACTTCATTTCTTTTTTATTGCTGAGTAATATTCCATTACATGGATATTATTCATATAATAGAATTCACCTATTTGTCTGTTTTAATTTTGTTTGGTTTGTAGTGCTAGGGACTGAATATAGGTGCTAGGAAAGCACTTGACCAGTAGACTGTATTCCAAGTTCCCAGAAGCTTTTCATTTTAAGTCCAGTTTACATATTTTCACTTAGGTTGTTTATGCTTTAGGTATTGTATCCAAGAAACCATTGCTAATCTAAAGTCATGAAGACTTACACCTGTGTTTTCTTCTTCTAAGCGTTTTATGTCTTACATTTATGTCTTTGCTTTGACTTTTGTATATGGTGTCCAACTTCATTACGTGTTTGTGGATACCCATTTGTTTCAACATCTATTATTAAAAAGATCATTCTTGCTCCCACTGAATTACTTTGGCACCTTTCAGTTTATCATAATGTTAGGTTTTATTTCTGGTCTCTCAAGTCTAGTCTATGTCTATTTTTATGTCAGTACCATACTATCTTGGTTCTTGTAGCTTTGTAGTGAATTTTAAAATTGAGAAATGTGAGTCTTTCAATTTTGTCTCCCTCCCCCTAGGTTATTTTGAGTCCCATGTCCTTCCACACACATTTTGGGATCACCTTGTCAATTTCTATAAGAAAGCCAGATAGAATTTTGATAGGAATTGTACTGAATCTGTAGCTCAATTTGAGAAGGATCGCAATCCTAACAATATTAAGAACATAGAATATCCTCTTATTTATTTAGGTCTTCTTTAATTTTTCTCACTGATGTTTTGCTATTTTCAATGTATCAATATTGGACTTCTGTTAAGTTTATCCGTACATATTAAAATCTTTTTTGATACTCTTGTAACTTGAATTAGTTTAATTTTGTTTTTGTTTTTCACTACTGTATATAGAGATACAGTTGACTTTTGTATATTTATCTGATGTCCTGCAACCTTGCTGACCTTGTTTATATGCTGTAATAGACTGTGAGTTCTTTAGAATTTTGTAGACATAAGAATTTGCTATTTGCAAATAGAGATAGTTTTCCTTCTACTTTTCCAGTCTATAAGCTTATTTCCTTTTCTTTCCTAACTGCCTTGTCTAAAACTTCCAGTACAATAATGAATAGAAGTAGCAAGAGGTGATATCCCTGTCTTCTGCCTCATCTTATGGGAAAGCTTTCAATCTTGCTTGATTCACTATGGGTATTAGTTCTTGGATTTTTATAGCTGTCCTTATCAGGCTGTTCCTACTTTGTTGAATGTTTTTATCATAGATTTAGGTTTTGTTAAATGCTTTTCTGCATCACCTTCCCAAAGATATTGTTATATCTTCATTTAAAAACTGAAAATACCTATTTGAAAACCACTAAGTAGTACTACCAAAATAAATAAATCTATTCCACTTTTCAAGCATTTGTTATTATTCCTATATTATTGAGATATAAAGTTTTTACCTTTAGATTCTCTGAACTGAAAAGGCTATAGGTCATAATATATTTAAAAGTTACCTAAAAAAAAAACCACTGCCTGCCTTTTTAATAATTTTTGAAAATCAGAGAAAGAGCAGGGAAATAACCTTCAGTTTTGTCAAGTGTAGTTGGCTCTGCCAATGTCAAGTTCCAGTTAAGAGTTCACTTAGTGGATTTGGGTGTATACTGTCTGATTCTGATTATTAGCTGTATTTGCCCAGGCTTAGCTGATCACATGCAGACTGTTTCAAAATTTGGTACAAGCAACAACAGTTAAAATGATGCTACCTGGCAGGTACTTCATATGTGAATAACAAGCATAGATCCTATCTAAATCTGCTTTTTGTTGCTATAGCAAAATACCAGTGGCTTGGTAATGTGTAAAGAAAAGAGGTTCATTTAGCTCAGAGTTCTGGAGGCTGAAAGTACAAGTTTAGGTAGCCCCATCAATTTGGCCTTAAGTGAGTGTCCCTTGGGATGCATCATTTCATGGCAGATGGCAAGGTAGGATCTCATTCGAGAGGGAGAAATCTCATAATGGACAGGAAACCAGAGAGCTGGGAGGGGCCACTCTTGGTCTTTTATAACAACATTTCTGGAGAACTGAACAGCGTCCTAGGAGACCCACTCCATTCTCTTTGGAGGGTGATGCCCCCAGTGACTTCCCCTTAGGCTCCACCTCTTAAATGTTCCAACCCTTTCATGGTGCCACGCTGGAGACTAAGATTCCAACACAGGAACCTTTGGGGGACACATGCAGACCACGTCCAAACCACCGCACGTCCCTTAGTACCAGTGAGTATTGATGTAACACTCACTGTGTTCATCAAATCTTTTCAGTCACATTGCCGAAAAAGCAGTGGCTGTTCTCCCATTTCTTACAATCACTTTAAAGCACTGTTATCATTGCTATTGTTACTAAAGGGACCCGGCCCTCGTTTGAGAGAAAAATATTAAGATTTGTTGGGCTTTCCATTTAAGAGAAAAACCATGTATGCTCTCCACATGAGTCCTTTGAGTTGCTTGACCATTCAATCATAATGGAGGCCTAGGCTGGGAATCAGACCTTGCTGATCAATACTAAGCCATTACCTCTGTTCAGCCAGTGTCTCAAATCGCCTGTACAGGCCTTGCTCCTGTATTTTAGAATTTAGAGACTTCTAGTCAACACCTACGTGCATCTAGATTTCAACTGCACTATTGCTACAGGCCATGTGGAAGAGATTACTGGTGAAACATCCACCCCATGTCTCCAAAGTGTAGATGCTTCACATACATTAGGGGATTTTCCTCTGCTTCTCTTTAATACATATTATCTTTTTAGGCCTCAGAACTTCTCTAAAAACTGGGGCTCCCCATTAATCACCAGCCAGACCCTGTAGTCTCTCAAATACAGATAGATTATTTTCATGAATTTTGGTGGTGACAGTCTCTATCTGGCTCCATTGTGATGTTTCAGCTTCACCTCCAACATCACAGCAGCAAGTTACAGCCAGTCAGCTATATTTCAAAGAAAAAGTTTCAAACTATTAAATTTAACTAACGGGTTCAGTGGGAACCTTACAGTGTTGACCCTGCACATTGTAAAATATGTACCGCTTACAATTTTTTTTTTTTAAAGATGGTTTAGCACTTGTTTACAATACAGCATGAGGTATTTTCAGCCCTTGTATAGAAATTAACCAGGATCGTTAGTTAATTAACACCTCACCTTAAAATTGGTCTCGCCTTGCATATTAGGTGCTGATATTTCTTGATGGATGATGAAGAGATTGCGAGCAAAGGTCATGAGGACCCCCTGGAGATCCACACCGATTGTTCTGTTAATGATATCCAAACAAATGAGTTTAGCAATGATTCCCCTCACATGCTTAAAAACAATGGCCCTCTCATTTGTGCGGCTGGTGATGGAATTTAATGAGTATTTTCAATCTCACAAGGTGGCAATCTTCAGGGAGATATGAAAGATGAGGCTCCATTTTAACTTGTCAACAAAAAGGATTTGTGTAATAAATATTTTTTATTAATCAACTTAGCAGGATAGAGCAATACGCTCAGTCGGTTCTAGCAAAAGGCTACTACTGAGGTAGGACGGTAGTAGCTCATTTTGTAAGCTACGTTGGTTAAAGAGGGTTGTTGCTAAGTCGTTCTCCTTGTCTATAGAGACATTTGCTCCCTGGACCCTGAGGACCTTTGTCTGGGGTTATCTTCTATTTCAAGTGTAGTGCTTGCCACTCAAGTTCCAGGACAGTGTCCCCCTTCACAAACAGCTGTCTTTCTAAGGCCGGACACTCCCTTTACAGTTGCAGAGGCAAACCATCCTGTAGCATTATACTGTGGTCTGTGAACATTCCCAATAACTAGATTGTTATATGTTTAAACTTGGAAACAAAACTCCAGAGTACTTCCCTAGCTTTTTCTTAAACTTGTTTTTTTAATTAAAGGGGGGGGGTTAATTGAAAGGATTAAATTTGAAAAATTGTTTTGTTATGAGGTGTGAACATACAGAGCTGCTTCTTTTTTATTTATTTATTTATTTTGTCTTTTTGAGGCAGGGTCTCACTATGCAGTTCAGGCTGGCTTTGAGCTCACTTTATAGCCCAGGCTGGTCTTGAACTCACAAGGATCCTCCTGTCTCAGCCTCTCGAGTGCTGAGATTACAGGCATGCGCCACCACGCCCGGCCGGAGCTGCTTCTTAAAGCAGATGTAAAAAACTGTAGGCCTACGTCTCCCCCAGGTGTTATCTATAAATTAAGTCCCCTTGGAGCCTAGGACTTGGGCCCTCTTGGATGTCTGCTTTCCAGTCTCCCAGGCCCTCCCTGGGTTGAGGGTGGGACGAAAAGCTGCCCAGTCCCCAAGACAGGAGACCAGGGCTCTTTGTCTTGCCGCTGACTGATTTAATCTCTCTGGGTCTTCATTTCCCTTTCTCTGAAATGAAGGAATTGGACTAAGTCAGTGCTTCTGAACTTTTTGAGTTATATTCCTAAATCTGAGGATGGCCTACCCCTTGTAACTGCTAGACAGTAGTATCTTGTCTTTTAAGAAATAAATAATGGCCAAAGACAACTTCAGAATCAGTGATTTTGAAAAGTAATTTGTGGGTTTGTTTGTTTGTTTGTTTTTACCATAGGATTAGTATGTATTAGACCATGGGTACTTCTTAAAACACTCTTCCTGGGCTCCACTCAAAATTAATAAAACTAGAATATTTGGTTTTGGGGGCCAGAAATATGTTGTTTCACCAAGCACTAGGTGATACTCAGATATACACTAAAAACAGAAATGCATTCTTAAAAGAAACTATAGGAAAGTGAGAGGAGAGAGAGACTGTGGCAAGAGAGAGAGACCAGGTCTCTACTTGATTTCTTGTTCCTTGTTCCTTCACTCATTTCCAGAATTTGCTTCATTTTCTCTTTCTTGAAATTTCTCCTTCATTATTTCCCAGAAATATCCCAAAATAAATGGAATCAGTATGAAATTATCCCCCAAACAAGCCAGATCGTGAATCTCTGTTCTGTAAAATCATCCCCTCTTGCCAGGCATGGTGATGCACACTTGTGATCCCAGCACTCGGGAGGCTGAGGCAGGAGGATCATTGCATGTCTGAGACCAGCCTGGGCTACAAAATGAGTTCAAGATCAGCCTGAATTGCATAGTGAGACCCTGTTTCAAAAAAAAAAAAAAAAATTGAAAAATTAAAAAACTAAAAAAAATCATCCCCCCTTGAAACCCCTTACCTTTCCTAAAGAGGTGACGGGCTGCTCACATCCTGACAGCCAGGAAGCAGAGAAAGGAGGAACCCAAGAGGCCTACCAGGTCATGACCCCGGCAACCCCCTCTTCTGACACCATCCTCTAGCATCATAGTTAGCTATACTGCTCCATGCTTCAGTCACCCCTGAGGCTCTAGGGGGACATCCAGATATAAACCATAACATAGCCTCTTCTTTGAGCTCTTAGCTTCCTTTTGCCTGCCTCTCAGATTGTCCTTTTGCTCTCTGTGGTTGGGCCGTTCCTGATGTGTGAGCTGGCCGCAACTTGAGATGTCCCGCAGACATCTGTGTCTTGGGTCTGGATTTGACCTACCTGGCCGCACTTCTCCCATCACCAGAAAGGCGCTTGCCCCCCTCGGCCTGATCCCCTCTGCAAGAGCGTTTGTCTAGTTCCAATCCTGCCCCACTCGTCTCTGCAGTTTACCTCTCATGCCTGCTGGTGGTTGGCAGGTCAGAGTTCATATCTCTGTGTGCTGATTCCTAGTTCTTGTACTTAACAAACCCATTTGTCTCACTTCTTGAGTTTAGAAATATACTTGGACCATAACTATTTCCTGCTTAATTGGATTCATACTCTGCAAAATACCAGTTTCTTGTCAGCTTGCCAACAATAAACCCAGTTGCCTGGTTGGTTCTCCTAGTCACAGTAACTGCCCTGCGGTCTCTGTCCTGCTACAGCCTTAGGGTCATAGTGACAAATTCGGAGAGAGCAGGGTACGTCAGGGCTGAGGGCAAGGACCATCACTAGAAAGCAAAGGGCAGCGCCTTCCCTCCACATGCCTAGATGCGTCCATGCTTTGTTATTCTGGATGTGAATATCTGTGCAGATCAGATGCATGCATACTTGCTGGGTTGTTATGGATGGCGGTCTCATTTCTGTTGTTATTACTGCAGTATAACAAAAGGGTGGACAGAGCCTGAATAAAGAAGCTTTCTTAACAAAACCCAGAAAGCTCTGCATGTTGGTACTGGAGCAGAGGACTCAAACATCCATACCCTCCTCTTCCTGGCTGCTATGAAGTGTTTAAGACTTTAATCCCGGGATTAAATTATAGCCACATGCTAGCTCCCAAAGGGGAAGACATCTGAACATTTGCATAAGTTCAGAAGGATTGATGAGGGTGAGAGCACTTCCAGCAGGACCGTGTTTCACATATACATACTTTGAGAAGACAGCACCAGGGCCAAAGATGGACCTGGCCCTGCCTTTCGGATGAACATCTTGCTGAATCACTTGCGCACTTTTCTATGCATGCCAGAGTAGTAACTGTCTTTCCACAGCTGAGACATCTGAACTGGTTCCCTATCAGTAGGATTTGTTGTCTCTTGTATGTTATGAGCTTGAGTGAAATACTTTAAATATAGTGTACACTCTACCCATCGATTTTGGATAATTTATGAACACTGACCAACCCAACTAAAGTCATTTTATGAAATAACTGAAGGTCTAAAGAAAACAATACAGACTTCCTGTAAACCGGCGAGCTGATGAAAAAGCATCTTGTCAGCTGTGATAATCTACTAGCTTTTCTTACATCGCGTAGCTGCTTCATACTCACAACATGCCCAACTTGTCTCTCTTCAGGTGTTCGTATAATAGAAAAACTGTTCCTTGTCTGTCCTGTAAGATTTGAGTAAAAAAATAGCATGCATATTATCTTGGAAACAAAGACAATACTCTAAGAGTAGTAAAATTGGTTCAAATTGAAATCTAGAGCTACCTTAATATCTTGTGAGAAGCGCATTTGAAAAGGTTGTCTCCATAATATAGAATAGGTATGTTCTAGGACAGTGTTTTGTGAATATGTTCCTCAGAACACCTGCATCACTCTCATCTAATTAAAAGAGACATGTCTCAGGGCTCAGCGGTCAAGCACTTACCTAGCCTGTGGGAGGCGCTAGGTTCCATTCCCAGCAACTCAAATAAACCAACGACCCCCACACACACATTTTTATGGGTATCATCTAAGCCCAGAATCCTTGAAAAGGAGTCTGCCTTTTAGCTTATTTTCTGGGTGTTTGTCCTGCACATCAAAGTTTGAAGACTACTGTTATCAGAGTGGCCAGGCAGTGGCCCGGCTTGGCGGAGCACACCTGTAACCCCAGCACGCTGCAAGGCTAAAGTTAGTGGAAGGACTGCAAGTTCAAGCTCAGCGTGGGAGACTTGGCAACTTAGTGAGACCCTGTTTTAAAATAAAAAACAAAAAAGGGGCTGGGAATGTAGCTTAGTGTGAAGACCCTAAGTTCAATTTCCAGTTACCCACCCCCTGCCACCAAAAAAGGGAAGAAATTTGTTGTGTGGGTAATAATTTGTCCTCCAATGGAAAATGATGTGTTGTTGACAATACACCCTGCTCCCTTATCAAATGGATTCTATGGGAGATACTTTACAGCTTTGTTAAATTGTAAGGCACCAAGAGACAAGTAAATTCTCCTGCTCCCCTTGTACAAAAAGCTGTTTTACCAGGTGTGATGGGGCACACCTGTAATCCCAGCAGTTGGGAGGCTGAGGCAGGAGGATTGCCTTGAATTTGAGGTCAACCTGGGATACATAAGCGAGTTCAAGGCCAGCCTGCACTACATAGTGAGACCCTGTCTCAAAAAAGAAAACTATTTTGCTTCTATTTGCATATTCATTTCAATATGCCTGATCTATACAGATATCTGATTGTTGAATTCTCTTTTGAACTAGCTTTGGACATTTGCCTAGTTACCTCTGTGAAATAAAATTTTTATCATGTTTATTTTACATCTGTATGACATGATAATTTTTTTGTTGTTGTTTTTTTTTTTTTTTTTTTTTTTT